GTTTTCTCTGTGCCTATTGAGATAACCTGTTGACATACGTCCTCTATCCCATTGATGGGGTGCATTACCCTGACCTTATACATCGACCTGGGCATCTGAGACGCACTCCCCTTGGTCATCAGGTATAACCTGTTTTGTGTTGCAGGAACTGGTTTGCTAGTATTTTCTAAAGCATGTTGTGTCCCTATTCATAAGGAATGATGCTCTGTCATTTGCACATGACATCTTTCTCTGCACTGAGCAACCCAGCAAAACAGGTCTCACAGGGCAGAGTTAGGAACTGTGCTCTCTCCTCTTTTGAAAACTGGAAAATCGGTGGCGAATCAGTATGTGTGAATCGGCATTCGTTCTTTACATCTTTCGTAGGATTCACCAAGAAAGTTGGCTGAGCCTCGGCTTTCGTTTCTGAACTTTTAGTTACCAATCCAATCCCCTGCCATGTTATCTGGGGCGACTCACATTCTCGCATTCTCCTCAGGCCCATTCTGGCTACTGGCGTCTTTCTAGAAATTTGCTAGAACTTCACCTAGGCCGTCGGAGCAAAAGGCAGCAGTTGCTCGTGGTGCTTTTCCTCTAAACCTTTCTCTTCAAGGTGGAAACTAATGAACCCACTGTCTTTGTCTTTCTTTCGTTTTTTGTAGCTTGTTTTCCTTTTTCCTTTGCCGGGTCCTGTCCAAGGCCCCACTTGTGGTTCAGTGCGCTTTCTGCTGTTTCCCGTTCCGTGTCCTGTTGGGTTCCAGGCTTTATTTCTGCTTTCATTCTCCTCGCCATCCTTCTGCCTGTTGGCCTTTTAGCGTTCGGTTTCCTTCTAGTTCCTGCAGGTGGAACATGCACTTCTTCAGCGCACTGTCCCCGTGTGCAGGCATTTACAGCTCTGCTGTCCCCCACATCCATCTCCAAGGGATTCCTAGTTTTCCTTGTCCAGCCTTGGACCCGCTGGTCACTTGTTGGGTGCAGCCACCGCGTCAGTCCGTCTCGTTGAGGGGCCCCCTCTCGCTGCCCCGCCAGCGCACCGAGTACCAAGTCCTTCCTCCTCTAGTTGGTTGAGTGTGTTAATTTCCACCTCCCTTTGAGTTAGTGCCCCCAAATCTCTGCATTTCCCATTTAACCCCCAAAGTGATCGGAGAGCATACTTTGCACGATGTCTTCCCTTCTACATGTTGAGGGTGGTTTTGCGGCCCAGATGGTCTGCCCTGGAGAAGGCTCCAGGGCACTTGCTCCAATCGAGCGTGTTCTGTGGCCGTTGGGTGGGGTGTTGGTCACTGCTGGCTTTAGGGTTCCGTCTTCTAGTTCAAGTTCTGCCTAGTTGATATGGCCGTCATTGAAAGTGGGGCATCGAACTCTCCAATGACTTCATCCTTCAAGTCAGTGTTTGACGGATGTATTTTGGGTCCCCGTTATTTGGTGTGTATTGTTTGTTACTCTTATGTCTTCCCGAGCGACTGAACCCTTTTTAAAAAAAACAATTACCTTGGCTCCAGTAAGTTTTTGTTTTCCCGGGTAGATTTTTTATTTTTTTAAATCATTTTAATAGGGGGGCTCTTACAACATTCCAGACATCGTGTCAAGCACATTTGTACATATGTTGCCATCATCATTTTCTAAGCATTTACTTTCTCTTTGAGCCCTTGGTATCAATTTTTTCCCTCCCTCCCCTCTACCTGGTAGATTGTATGTGTGTGTGTGTGTGTGTAACAAAGAGCTTTATACCAAAGAGTAATTGTGTATTGAGAAAACAGCCCAGCCCAGATCAAGTCCCTAAGTCCGCTATTAGCCCATCTGCCCCGTACCAGACCTGGGACTTTTAATGCCACTGCTTTCAGGCTTATTTTCTTTCCCTCGGGGTCCTTGAAGTCACCTGTGACCACAGGGCCACTCTGCCCTCGATTCTGAGTTCCAGAGAGCACATCTCTGCCACACTCACCAAGAGAAACTGGACCTAGGCTATCAAGACCCCCTAAGTCACGCTGGTCCCCAGAACCGGGTGTACTTAGTCCTACCAGTGGCTGACTCAAACAGCCACCCACAGCTGGGATGTGGTTTCTCCAGCAGGGCTCTAGGGACGGATGGACGCAGTGCCCCCCACTGTGTTGGTGATGGAGTCTGGTGTACTACAGCCCAATAGCAATTCCCAGGGAGGACCCACACGATCGGTGTGCCCTCATAAAACCCCTCGATTCAAAGAACGCGCCTCCGTGTGTGGTGTGTGGGGCTGTGGCAGGACATCATTTGGTGTCAACTTGAGGGAAGGGTGGAGTCTAGCCTGTCAATCAGATCGCAGCTTAATGACCTCGTTTGGAAGCGCAGCTGAGATAAATAGCTCCCTGGAGGCCAGATACACACACATTCTCCGCGTCGTCTTCCTGCAGACAGGACACATGGAGCTTCACTGGAATCCTGGAACTGGAGGAGCCACATGGAGACCCCTGCCAGCACTGAGATGCTCCCACCGCCACTGGATCCAGAGGTTTCCCACCCACTGGCCCGTGAGCTTCCTGCATTCAGCGTCGTTGCAATGTGTTGAGTGTCTGAAGAGGAATTTATAGATTGGTATTGGACAAATACCGGACTTACGGACTTGATCTGGACTGGAATCTTTTCTCAATATACAATTGCTCTTTATATAAAACTATTTCTTATACACCTATGAATGTCTCTGGATTTGTTTCTCTAGTCTACCCAGACTAACTCAGTAGCTTTCATTAGGAAGCATTGCTAGAGTCCTTGGGCGGGGCGCAGGCACAGCGCCACCCACTCACCAGGAAGGCCGTGGAGTGACAGGCAGGGTTGAGGAGAGGGACAAAGACCCCACAGGGGGCCCTTCTCATCAAGCATGACTGGTGCTTCCACCAGGTCTTAAATGTACTCATCTCTGGGTTCTGCCAGGTGGGGCCGTTAAGGACCCCACCCCCACCCCCAGGGCTACCAACAGGACAGGAATTTGGACTCTTAGCGGGAGAGCCCACCTGAGAGATAATCACCCCCTTGGTCTTTGAAGCCCCTGCCTGTGGGATTTCTGGGAAGGTAGGGCAGACCCCGTTGAGTGAAACAGGTGTTCCCTTTTGATTGTGTACTTGGCAGGAGCTGGCTCTGCCTGAGCAGATGCAGGGAGCCCTCAGAGAGAAGGGGCTGCCCCGCCGGGGTTTCCAATGGCTCTGTTTATGCTGCGGGAGGCACGCAGGGTCTGACACAACTCAGATCCACACAACTTTATTCTTCCACTTACAAGAGATACACTCAGAACCTACAGGAGGGAGACACGGAGCGGCTGAGGAAGTGTGCACATGCCCAGGGAGTGTCCCCGCCCGGTGTGTGGACAGAGATGTGAAGTGTACACACACCCAGGGAGTGTCCCTGGTGTGTACACAGATGTGAAGTATGTACATGCCTAGGGAGTGTCCCCAGTGTGTGTACAGAAGTGTAAAGTGTGTACGTGCCCAGGGAATGTCCCCGGTGCATGTACAAAGATGTGAAGTGTACACACTCCCAGGGAGCATCCCCGGTGTGCAGAGATGTGAAGTGTGCACGCACCCAGGGAGTGTCCCCGGTGTGTGTATAGAGTTGTAAAGTGTGCACGCACCCAGGGAGTGTCCCCGGTGTGTGTACACAAATATGAAGTATACACACTCCCAGGGAGCATCCCCGGTGTGCACACAGAGATGTGAAGTGTGCACGCACCCAGGGAGTGTCCCCGGTGTGTGTACACAGATGTGAAGTGTGGACACAGATGTGAAGTGCATACACGCCCAGGGAGCATCCCCCGTGTGTGGACAGAGATCAGAAGCAGTGCAAGTCTGGACGCAGGGTGTGAAGGTTCAGGGGTGACTGACCAGCTCACATGTGGTCAGACAGGGTGAGGGGCTGGCTATGGCCCCGCTGTGCCCATGTGTTGGGTGATCAACCCACTGCAACGTGAGTCGGGCTCAAGCTGAGCCGAGGCAGCAGGCTATGGTGGACGTGTGGATCAGGGTGGCCGGCCCTGATTGTAGAGTCCCTCCGTGCTGACACTGCTCCCCTGCACTGCCCCCACCCCTCGCTTGCTGCAGCCCCCCGCCCCCAGGTCTGCAGTTCTGGGGCTGACCCTCCAGCAGCCCGAGCCTCCCAGGCAGCTCAGTTCAAGTGTGAGGTGCACTGGGGCCAGCCCACCCCAGGGACCTCTCAGCTCACAGAGGCTGCTGCCAGGGTTAAATAAATAAATAGGCCAACATGGGGGGAGGCAGGGTGTGGCTGTGGGGCCATAGGGAGGGAGGGAGGGCTGGAAGCACACCCCTCCACCTTCCACTGGCCGGCCAGTGTGGAGGGTCTATGGAAGTCGGGTGGGGTGCTGACACAGCGCACCCCCAGGCTCCAGCTCTGCTGCTGTGGGTGTGCTGGGACCCGGGCTCCGTCCTGGGGGTGGCGGCAGGAGGCCCAGGTGTGCCCACCTTCTGCGGAGAGCTGGGGTGGGAGGGTGGACTTGGCGATCTTGGTGGGGTGGGGGGCTGCGATGGCCTCATGAATAGATGGTGATCACCTCCCGGCCCCCGCCTCGGACCAGCAGCACGCGGTTCAGACCCTCCGTGAGGACTTCCAGGAACTCCATGTCTGCGGGGCGCTAAGGAAGCTAGGCCACACAAGGAAGGTGGGGGGAGGTCAAGGAGCCCTCGTGCTGCCCTGGGCACCTCACCCACTCCATGACAGGGAGCCACGGCCGTGCTCGGAGGCCAGCTGGAGCTACCGTGTGCTGTGCCCTCACGGTCCTGCGGGCACTAGCAGTGACCATCGCGTGGGCCCTCACCGTCCCCCACCCCCACCCCACCCCCACCGAACCCCCGGCCTCCTGTAGCCTGGGTCCCCACCGTGACCTCCAGTATCGCCCCTAGGCTGACACCCCAAGAGGCCCCAGAGCTTGCCAGGTTCACCCGTGTCCCCACATCCAATGTCCTGTCCCTAAATAATGAGAAGACCCCACCCCACCCCAGTTCTCATCCTGACCAGATGTGAGGACACATCCTGGGGCCTGTCCTGCCCCACCACCCCTGGGCCCATCTCCACATGCTCCCATGTCTGTGGAAGTGGGTACTAGGGAGGGCCTGGTGCGGTGAGGTAGGTAGGTGCGCCCTACACCCTGGTGCCTCGACTGTCCTGAGGCTCCGCACGTGGGTCTCAGTTCTGGGGTCCCGGGAGAGCAGGACAGCCCCAGGGCCCTGACCGCCACAGCCGAGGATACAGTTCTCGTCACCCTGCCGGTTCTTCGGGGGGCCGGGCATGTTCAGCAGCACCAACTGGGCATCCTGGGACCGGCTGAGCACCACGCCATTCAGCTTCACCGCCGTGTGCATCCTCCGGACATTGGACTGGTTCCTGCAGGACAGCAGGCGTCACCGGGCACCACGCCCACCCAGAACCAGGCTGCCCCTGGCACACACAACAGGCGCTGCGGTAGCACAGGGACCACACTCACACCTGCACTCGGGTGTCCAGGATGGGTGCACACTGACACCGAGCTCACACCTCTGTGCCAACCATGCAGGGTCCCCTAGGTGAGACCACCGGGGCAGATGTGGGCTCACACCCTCACGAGCAGTGTGCTCCAGCGGCACTCACGCGTGCAGGCGCCAGGCCCACCGGCACGGCGTGCAGACAGGTCAGGCTTCTGACCCCAAGCCCCAGCCTGCACAGGCCTGCTCAGATGACGAGCTACCACACAGCAGACAGGTCTGCACACTGGGGGCTGTCCCACCCACCGCCCAGAAGTCACTGTGAGTGGACAGAGGTCACGGCACATGGGGTCAGGGAGAGCCAGCAGAAAGCCGCCCTCCGCTCAGCTCTTTGCTGCAGGCAGAGGGACAGAGGGTTGAGAGGCCTGGGGAGACCACAAGGGCAGGGAACAGCTGTGAGCAGTGGGCACTAGTGTGTGTGTAAGCATGCATGTGTATGTGTGTGAGCGGTGTGTGTGAACGTGTGTAAGTGCATGCGTGACCATGTGCACGTGTGAGAGCGAGTGTGCGTGTGTTTGTGTCAACACGTGTGCGCGAGTGGGCATACATGTACAAGTGTGAGAGCTTGTGTGCGTGCATGCAGGACCACACAGAGCGGGGGCTGACAAGGAAAGGGGCGTGTGCCACTTCAGATCCAGGCTCGGGACCCGTGGGTCTCCCCAGCACAGGCCAAGTCCGGGAGACCAGCAGGCACCATCCACCTAGGTTGGAGTTTGTGGCACAGGGCTCTTCTCTGGGGCTGGGGAGGGACAGAGATGCCGCACAAGCTGGACTCAGGGACACCCAGGGTGAGTGATCATGTGACGTCCCAGGCCTGGGCAACGTTGATGAGTAACCCCGACCAGGAGTCTCCCTGGACTGTGGGGGTAGGGCCGGTACAGAGGCAGGGGCGCCCCACTCCCAGGTCTGCAGCTAGATTCCGGAGCGCTCCGAGCACACGGGTGAGGGACACACTACACAGCACAGGGCCGGCACAAGGACATGCAGCAGGGTCACAGGGAGCAGGAGGGAGCAGGCGGGGTGGGGACGGAGGCCGGCCGGTGACTTACAGGCTTCCCCACTCACTGTGTGCACAGCGGGGAGAGAAGGACAGATGTTACTGAGCAGGCCTGGGCGCCCCACTGCCCACCGCCCACCTCGCCCCACACCAGGCTGGGGGTGCTCTCTGACACCGCCTCCCTCACGGCCCCATCCCCGTTTCGGGAGCCGCCCCCTCACAGAAACTCCGAGGAGAGGAGAGGGGAGAAAGGGGCGTGTGATGTGTGACTGAGTCCGCCGAGGCCCCATGTGGGCCACGAGGCCCTGCCCCCGGCCACGCACTCACGGCTTCAGGCTGAAGATGTCCTTGAAGCCTGCCATGTTGGCATCCTTGACCTTGTGCTTCTCGGCCACCAGCTTCTCCTTGGTCCATGTCATCTGCACCCGGTCCGGCGTGGGCGGCGCCTGGGTCTTGGCAGCTACTGCAGAGTGGGACGCTGTGTTACGGTCATGAATCAGCTGGGCCTGAGAAGGAAGGGCGGGGTTAATGCAGCAGCTCCCCCAGACACAGCACCCCAGACTTGGCACCCTGAGACTCAGCACCCCCAGTGGAGGGAGGGGGGTCACAGGAGCCAACTGGCCAAACAGCCTCCCTCTGGAAGGTGGGGGTTGGGAACAGGCTTATCCCGGGTCAACAGGGAAGGCCACGAGGAGCCCTGTGCTAGGCCAGCAATGAAGGTTGGTGGGGGTACTCATGAGCTTTAAGTCGGGACCACCCAGTGTGGCCCAGGCCCCGACAACAGAGTCTCCATGACAGAGCCCACCTGCACCTGGAGCCTCCACTGCTGCCCCCACCACTCGTTATGAGAGGGGGCCCAAGGCTTCACGTGCCCGCCCACCCTGCAAACACTTGCAGCTCCCGCGTGGTCTCAGATGGGCTGCACGTGGATGCCCCACCCCCCCAACACACACATGCACACCCCCACGCCCACTCACCTCCCTCTGGCGCTCGTTCTTGGACAGCTGCATCTGCTTCAGCATCTGGGACCTCTGCTCCATCATCAGCGTCTTTTCGTATGTGAACGCCGAGATGTCACTCTCCACCTAGCAGGGCCGGGAAGCCAGGGTGAGGGCGGCGGCGGGGCCGGGCTCGGCACGGGGAGCCACGGCCGCTCGGCACTCACCATCTCCACCACCTCCACCTCGGCGCTGATGCGCAGGTGGTACAAGAACACCTGCAGGTCCTTCTTCATCTGGATGCTGTTGTCGTCCACCTGGGCCACCGTGAAGATGCGCATCCGGCACTTCCTCCACACCTGGGGTGAGTGAGGCGGGGCCGTCACCAGGCCCGGGCCAGCTGCCCTCGGGCACCCCACCCCCACCTCTCCCCGTGGACACGACAACAGCACCCCCCTGCCCCCGACGTTGGTGTGCCCCATGTATGACACCGTGCGGCACAGCCCCGTGGGCACCAGCGTGGCGCGGCCCACCTTGTGCTGGCGCAGCAGGAAGGGCAGCAGCATGAGCATGCCCCCGTCGTGCACGACCCACCACACGTCGATGTGCCCGCCGCCCAAGCGCTCGTGGTTCTGAGGGAACAGGCCCACGTTCTTGGCCACCAGCAGTGCCTGCTGGGCCGCTGTGGTGTCCCGGACCGTGTCTGTGCAGAGGGCGGTGCCGGCACGTCACCGAGACGTCACAGTGCGGCAGGTGCGACGTGCAGGGTCCCTCAGAGCCCTCCCCTCCCGGGTGGGAGCTGAGAGTCCAACCAGGATGCCGCCCCTCAGCCCTCAGACTGCCCGGACTGCGCCCAACACAGCTGGTCAGCGGCAGGGCCGCACCTACCGACAAAGTTCTTCCAGGAGAAGGGGTTGTCGGCCTGCCTCCACGCGTCGGGCCAGGCCATCAGCACCGTGTTGTGCTTCATGCCGCCGAGCCCGGCCGACTGGATCAGGTGGGACGTGCCGTCGCGCAGGCTGGCGGACACCACCAGCTGGCAGAAGCCCTTGGCCTTCTCCACACCCATCAGGGACCGGATGTTCTGTGAGGGACAGGGTGGGGGTCCGCGGCTGACCCATGTCCTGCTCCCCACCATGAGGGACCATGTACCACAGCCCACACCCGACGGCCAGCGGCCAGCAAGCCAAGAAACCCCAGACCAGGAGCACCCTGGTCGTCAGAGGGACAACGTGGAAGCCTTGATGTGGTCAGGACTCATTTCTACTCGCAGCCATCTAAGGTTCCACACCAGGCCTCTCAGACCCCAACAGCCTGCTCTGCCCTCCCAGCTCACTCGGGTTGTCAGGGCCCCAGCTCACTCGGGTTGTCAGGGCCCCAAAGAGCCGAGCCACCCTGAAGAACAGAGCAGGTCCCAGCTCACTCGGGTTGTCAGGGCCCCAGCTCACTCGGGTTGTCAGGGCCCCAAAGAGCCAAGCCACCCTGAAGAACAGAGCAGGTCCCAGCTCACTCGGGTTGTCAGGGCCCCAGCTCACTCGGGTTGTCAGGGCCCCAAAGAGCCGAGCCACCCTGAAGAACAGAGCAGACGGCCCGCCCTCCCTGCTCTCAGCACCGACACAAACCGTGTGGCAGCGACATGCAGATCAGCCATCACCCATCGACCGGGCATGCACAAGGGACTGCATGGGTCTACGGTGGGACTCGTGTTTGACAAGAGGGCCCAGAACCTTCTCCTCAGCACAAGGGAAGCGGGACCCCTACCCCACACCGCGTGCACAATGTACAATGTACTAAAGATGGGCCTGCAGTCTGCTTCTAAGAGCAAAAGACACGGGACCCTTGCTGTGTTTGGAGGGAGCATTTTTTATGACGTGAACCAGGCAGTGGTTGCTTAGACGCCACACCACAGGCTCAGTAACAGGAAAACTTGGCAAAATTGGTTGCCGTCAAAATTAAAGTCTGCCAAGTCTGCCTTCCGGGATGTCATCAGAGGTGAGAAGACAGCCTACAGAGGGGGTACCTGCGGAATGTCCATCTGCTCAAGGTGGGACGTGCACAAGGTGTACAGAACCCCCACGACCTTAACAGAGACAAACAACACAGCCCCAAACAGGCAGAGGGCTGGAGCAGACATCACGCCCATGGGAAAATGTGCTGCGTCCGTGTGTTCAATGCCAGTGCTACCCCCCACCCCCCGCCGCTCAGACCCCACAGCCCGCCCCATCCTGCGGGCTGGGCCTCTGCGTGCTTGTCCCGGTAGGTGCCCCAAGCACAGAGCCCATGAAGGTCAGGCCCTGGCCCCCAAGTCCCCCCCACCCTGCCCACCTCCTCGGCGCGCTGGGCCTCCGTGTGCTTGTCCAGGTAGGTGCCCTCAAGCACGGCGCCCACAATGGTCAGGCCCTTGCCGGCCTTCAGCTGGGCAGTGAAGGAGAGCAGGCGTGGGTGCTTCACAGCCTGCTCCTCGTCCAGGGTCAGCATCACCAGCACCTGGGGCCTGGAAAGCAGCAGGGCATTCAGTGCAGATGGCTGGCACGGTGGCCACGTGCCAACCTCACCGTGCCAGGGGGTCCCCATGCAGCCACGGGGTGCAGAGGCTAGAGGCTGACCCTGGATGGGCTCCTTGGGTCTTGTGTTCACAGTGGCACGGCACCCCCCAGCAGTGACCACCAGGGCTGGGACTCGGGGGGAGGGCACTGCCCAGTGGCTGAGGAGCTAGAAGCTGGGGCCATACTGTCCAGTCTGGTGCCTGGCTGCTGGGACACAGTCATTTTCAGGGCCCTGAGCAGAGGGGTACAGAGCCCGGCGGAGGGAGGCGGAGCCGAGCTCCTCACACGGCTGCACGGATGACGGCTCTCAGGGTGGCCACACTCACCGCCAGTTCTTCGTGTGGGGAGGGCCGTGCTCCACACGGAGCAGTGCGTAGCGGGCAGCGTTCAGGGACAAGCCCCGGATGCCATCGCCCCACTCCTTCTCGGCCCTGTGAAGGGGACATCGGTGAGACTCTGCCCTGGACAGGCTGCAGGCATCACCCAGGGCACAGAGCCTCACATAGGGCATGGGTGCCTGCCACACCAACAACAGGACATCATGCAGAACACAGTATCCCATAGAGGACCTGGAACACCACACAGACCACGGACACCATAGACCACAACACAGAACACCACGCAGAACACAGGACCCCACAAAGAACACGGGACACCACGCAGAACACACCTATGGGACCCCACAAAGAACACGGGACACCACGCAGAACACACCTATGGGACCCCACAAAGAACACGGGACACCACGCAGACCACACCTATGGGACACCGCACAGACCATGGGACCACAGCTACACGGGCTCCGCAGGCCGGCTCACCCGCGGTACTCGATGTACTTGTAGATGCAGCCAGCGATGAGCATGGCGCACAGGGCGTAGTACCAGGAGCAGATGAACATCAGGGCCAGACACAGGCTCATGCCCAGGAAAGACAGGGTCCTGGTAGGGCGGGGAAGACGGGCAGTCACACCACCTCCCCCACTCTGTCCTGGGTAAGGACACAGCCACCACGCTGCCAGGGCGGAAACGGTGCCACACCCCTTCACCGAGGCTGACCCGAGTCCCAGGCCAGACTGCACTCCCCCCGACCTTGGCCCAGAGCAGGGGTCCCTGCAGGTGCGGAGGCCCTCGGTCTTGCTCGACAAGAGCAAGCGGAAACTCCCGAAGGTTCGTCTGGAAGTGACTCTGGGGTCCCTGTCCCAGGACGAGCCCCTCACCAGGAAGCTTGTGCGTGAGGGGTGGGGCTGCTGGCCTACCAGTGGTAGTACTTGAAGCGTGGGCGCCAGTTGGGGGTGCGCAGCAGGGTCTGCACGGCACAGGCCAGGTTCACGAACATGTAGCACATGAGGAAGAACCTGGGGGCAGGGCATCAGCAGGGTCCCCACGTGCCCCGAGATGGCCCTGCAGCACGCCCCCGCCCGACCCACCGGCACGCACATGGACAGGATGGGCGCCACGCTGTCCAGTGATGCGATGAGGATGCCGATCTCACAGATGAGGGCGGTCAGCAGCAGGGCCCACGTGGGCTCCCCGTTGGCCTTCCCGTGGCCAAACACCTGTGGGGGGAGGGGGTCATGTGAGTAGGGGGTGGAGTCACCCCAAGACTGCTTCCCGTGGGTCAAACATGTGTGGGGGGCAGACCATGTCTAGCCGACAGCTCCACTCTATCCACAGACTCCCAGGACCGCGAGCTAGAAGCCCGAACGGGTGCCCTCCCGACTCTGGGACTACTTGGCAGGACCCCGGAGGAGGGACCAGAGCAGGGACCCCCGGTTCTGGAGGAGGAACACAGTGGGGGTGCTGCCTCCCCGTCGTGTCCGCAGTGATGCCCCGGTGCCCACCTGTAGGAAGGGCACGATGCCGTCACGGGCAATGGCCTGCAGCAGACGCGGGGCCCCCGTCAGGCTCTGCAGGCCGGCGCCACAGGTGGAGAAGAAGGAGCCGATGACAATGACCCAGGGGGACGGCCAGGCCAGCATGCCGATGACCAGCTTACCCTGCAGGGCTTCCCCGAACCTGCAGGGGGCAGCGGGGCTCAGCAGGGGGCCAACAGACAGCAGGGAAAGCTACACACCCTACACCTGCCCTATACACATTGGGGGGCTCGGCTGGAGGCCGGCCTGCATGTCCCATGGCCCTGCATCTGTCCACCCCAACGCCCATCCCCAGGACACCTGAAGCAGAGAAGACGCCTGGGACCCACGGTGACCAGGGACCTGCGGATGCCCCTGAGGAGGACGTGCAGGTGGGAGACCGACACGCACCCCGTGACCTGGGCCCGGGACCCCGCGGGAAGGCTTTGCCTTGGGGACAGGCAGGTCCTGGGGGCATTTAAACTGGACCCAGCATCAGGACACCAGGCAGCAGGTCCAGGCAGTGGGTGGGGTCCAGGCAGTAGGCAGGGGCCCTTCCCTCCACCCAGTCTCCAGAAGCAGCGATCCCCCAGCCGTACTTGTCTCGCAGGACCACACCCTCAATGCAAGCTCCGAACAGCACAATGCAGGACAGGTCTGGCTCTCGTCAAGGAAGGAGGCCGGCCCTCAGTCCATGGGGATGGGGTCCCCTCAGTGCCCACCACACTGCCCACCTTTCCTAACCCACGGCGGGGACTGGGCAGGACGGATGGACACACAGCCACTTCCCAGGAAGGGTGCATGCACCACAGGGACACCCAAAGGCCAAGGGCGACTCAGCCCGTTTGTGAGTGACATCTACACCGGCTCTCCACCCCCCTCCCCCTCCCTGCGTGCTTCACACAGAGCTGCCCCAGGCCTTCCTTCCACGGGGCTGATGGTGTGCCCAGGACAGTGTGGCTATCTCGACACGCGGGAGTTCCTGGCAAGGGCAGACTGCGGTGAGCACCGTGTGTGCATGCACACGTGCACGGACTGGACCGGCCGAGAAGGCTCCCGGGGAAGGAGCAAGTGTGGATGGTAAATGCATGCATCCGGAGGTCCTGCGGCTCCCATGCACGTCACTGCCCCCCACAGAGCAGGAGTACGTGTGGGGAAGGTTGAGGACGTAGACACACAGACAGTCACACAGACACACATGTGTCAGTGCACCCCGTGGAAGCAGGGACCTGTAGGAGGTGGAAGGCTGTCTGAGGGAGGACACACAGACGTGGTTCACCAACCCATCGAGGCAGGACCTGAACCAGGCCATCGTCCCCTGCCTGAGGACCACCTCGCTGGCCCGCTGTCAGAGCGGAGGCCCCCAGGTGCCTGACAAGGATACAGATGAAGGACGTGGTCACGATGGCCATGATGGTGCCCGTGGGGATGGACTTCTGCGCGTCCCTGAGGTCCCCGGAGCGGTTCGAGCCGGCCATGATGCCTGGGGCGGATACGCAGTCAGAGGCTGTCTACTGCCCGCCCAGGCCGCTCCCCAACCAACTGCTCATGTGTGTGCCAACCCAGCCTACGTCCACCCAGCAGTGGCACCGCTTGTCACCAAGAGACAGGAGACAGCACAAGCGACACTGGCCCCACCAGAGGACTGGCATTCGCTCTCCAAGTGGCAGAGACCAAAGGGGACAGGGACAATGCGCACGGTCCTGGGCTCAACAAGGGGGTACAGATGCAGAGACGTAGGGACACCCCTCCTCACGGCTTCCCCCACCAAGCTGGGGTGCCCCCACCTGAAGCCTGGGGACAGACCCAGAGAGGGGAACAGAGAGAACTGTAGGACAGAGACATGGAGACAGCGCTACACATGCACACACATACTCCACCAGAGGGTGGGGGGTCGGGTGCGCACCGGTCACGGAGGGAAAGTAGATCCCCACCAGCAAGGTGAAGTGGGTCAGGATGTCGGTGAGCACGTAGGGCCGGGGCCCGGCGGCAGTCTCCTCAGGCACGTGGACTGAGGCCACGCCCTCCTTCTCCACAAACGAGCCCTTGTCCAGGTAGGTACTCCACAGGTTGTCTGCAGGGACAACCGAGGCATGGGACCTTGGGTGCGCCTGGGCATGGGGCCGCGGACACTCTTCTGCTGTGGTTTCCAAGCCCGCACTGGCACCAGAGCCCACTGCCCGCTGAGCCACGGCACCCCGAGGCTGCCTTCCTCCGCCCCACCCGTGGCAGCTCACCCAGGAGGACGCCGCTGGCCACGCCGGGGATGCCCTGGATGACCGACAGGTTGTTGCGGGTGAAGTATCCGTCGCAGGCGTCGGCAGACGAGCCGTTGCAGAAGAGCCCCCAGAGGGCCGTGGGCACTGAGCTGTTGGCGATGAGCTTGGCGCAGGCATCGAAGTTACGCCAGGAGAGCGTGCGGTTCCCCAGGAGGCAGACCCTGCGGGGTCCAGGACACGTGTTCGCCATGAGCAGCCGGCAGCCCCATGCCCTAGACCTGCACCTGTCCACCCGG